GGGTGGCGGGAGGGAATTTTTATGGGTACTGTACGAGTACAGTACCCTCTGTGGTTCAGACTGGTATGATAACGACCAAGAGACGCTTATTCATAAGTGATCACTCGATGTTCAATTCAATTGTTCCATTCCGTCCCATCCTCAACTCCATCCTTTCTCTTGCATGTAAGGAATGCCCCCCCCCTTTGCTCGATGGAAGGCTTCCATTGGGAATTGGGTATAGAATGAAAAATCTGAAAAATTTGGAACACGGACCATTCCAGCGAGAAAAAAGCGACCTCGCTGAACTTGTAGGTTTGTGATGTGATCATTGCGGCGAAAATGCAATCGCTCCCTCCCTCGAAAAAAGAAGGTAAGAGATCTAATAATACACAAACAAGCTGGAGATCTTTTTTTTCTTTGCTTTTTTTTTCCCCCTTCCACTGGAGCAACCCTCCCGCAGTGAAACTTTTCAATTTCTCGATTCCGCCGGCGAACGAAGGGAATCGTATCGTGACCCTGGGATCGATCGACCGACCAATCGCACCCCCCGTTCCCGAGCCGAGAATTGGCGGGCGGGCAGCCAATCTCCCGTTCCACGGGCCAGCACTATCATACTGTAAGTTAGCCATTAGTTACGATACTGTACAAAAGCGTACCGGTGGCGCACGCATATTCCGGAGTATTCGGGGTTTGACGTGCCAGGACTCGAAACATCATATGATAGCTATAATACCGTAAGAAAGGTTTGAGTTCCATACGGTATTCCCAGGTTTCTCCCTAACTTATTCCACCTTCCTTCCCTCAAAAGGTGCACTTTTATCTTTTTGCACCACCAGCCGTACATACTAGTAGAGCCGGGACCAGTGATCCATCCATCCATCCACACACATACGGTACGCACGCACGCACACCCAACTCGGACAAGGAACCTACCGTGCCGGCCACTTGTCCGTACCGTAATCTATCTGTCAATCTCGATTAGCGTACTGTAGATCTGTCCGCTTTTTTCCTTCCCTTCTTTCCCTTCCTTCCCTTCCTTCCTCGACCCGCGCTTCCCCACATGCGACGGCACAGAGCACATTGCACGCACGCACGTTCTGTTCTGACGCTGCCGACTGTACTGTACTGCACCGTACAGTACAATACCAGCAGCCAACTTGTCAGAACTGAGCTAGCCGACTTGAAGCGCTGTATGATAGATACCGTATCCAGTCATCGGGCGTGATAATTAATTAATTTCCGTAGGTTCTATATTTAGAATTTTGTCATAACTTGTGTATAGTAGTAATGGTAATTAGTGAGTTAGTAGCCTTGTGTTCTGGTATGATACTGTATCGGCGGACTTGGTTTCAATATTCTCAGTACATTTTTATCGCGGGTGATGTGATGAAGGTTCCATCGGGAGTCTTGATCGGACGACCAAGATCGTCGTGCCGGCGATGGTGAGATGGGGTGGGTTAGACTACCGTACTCTGCTTTATCTACCGTATAATACGGCACACCTTAATAGAAACATCCCTAGCGGTGAGAAATACGGTACGCCGTTCATGGATTACCCAGCACGAGCGAACGCTTCCTGCCTGCGATACACAATGTTTTCCTGTGACGGGGGTGCTCTACTGTACTGTACTGTACTGTACTGTACTATACTGCACCCTACGGAATTTCCAGAACCCTCTCTTTCCGCATCCAAATTATTATGATGTGATATGATATGATAGGATGGCGGGGTGTGTGGGGGTTGTCGTCACAATAAGCCTTCCCTCCCCTCCCCTCCCCTTCCCGTCCCACACACGCATCCTTCTGGCAGGCGGGGATGGCGTTTGCAGATGGTAGTGGTGGGCTGTGGTATTTAAACATGGATGTGCTCGAGGCACCGGTTGTCGTGTTTCCATACCTACCGTACTCGAGTACCGGTACTGTGGCCGTTGTCTACCCCCCCTTACTGGTCGGGGAGTATAGGGATGAGAATGATACGTTGGGCTATTATTAGAGTCTGGTAGAAGGCTGGGGTTTAAGTTTGGGATGGATTGATTAATGGATGGCGGGGTACGGTATCGTTTTTGGGGTCGTTATGTTGGAGCCATGGGAGTCGTGTCGATCAGGTATTATATCGTGCTGACGGGATCATAATCTGATAGAATTTCTTCTGCTGGGGAATTTTTTTTCTTTTTCTTCGGGTGTTTCGAATGCCGTACAAGTGCAGTACTTTGCACACACAGTGCTCATGAGTTATCACTCGAAACCCCGGTATTCTATCGTCACGGGCTTTTGAGCCCCGATTTCTTGCCCCTGGAGGGGGAGGGAGGGGAAGGTGGGGGGGAGGGAGGCGAGGGACCGGGGCTTGGATTGAAAGGACTGACGTTCGGGCTTACGACGCCGGCACACCCGTCATTCCCCACCTGGCCTTACCCTCTTTCCTCCCCCATCCACCCTTCATCACCACCATCGCCAGGATCGACACCCACCAAGATTTAATGTACCCACTACCAACCGGCCGGCTCGCCACCAACAAACACACACACACTGCCACAATGTCAGCAATTATCCGCCTCCGCCCGAACCGTATCGTCCTAACATCGGATGAAGTCCACAACCTGCATCCCCGTAGCGCAGACCCCAGCAGTAGTGGTTCCACGCCATCCCCGGCCGCAATACTAGCATGGGACCACAACATCACCCGGCGACGTGCCCGAGCGAGGGCGTCTCGCAGGCATTGTGCTGAGGCCCTGGACTTGTACGCACCGGAATTGGAGGAGGGCAGTGATGGGAGTGTGAAGATTCTTGAGGATGAGGATGTGATGGAGGAATGGAGCGGTGGAGGAGGAGGAGAAGGAGACGGTAGGGAGGGGGTGGCGTTGGAGGGGAATGAAGATATTTTGATTTTGCCGTTTGCAGACGTTGGCGTGGGAGGAGTGCGGGTGGAGGAGGGGGGAACGGTTCAACGTGCCGATTCAGACAGTGGAAATGCCACTGCCAGCGCCAGCGCCAGTGGCAGCGGCAGCGGTGATCCAGCCCTTTCTGCCACGGGCGCAGGAGGGGTAGACGACGCATCACATGATTTTATTGACATAGCATACCTCGCAGACATCGACTTTGACCCCCCAGATTCTCCACTGCCTACTCCCCCAACTACAGAAGCATACCTGGATGGTGCGACAGCCGCTCTGGCGTCTCTGGATATCTCAACCCTTGAAACCACAACAACGGGCGCAAAGACTCCAACGTCACTGCGCCGCTTCGCAGAACGCGAGTCGTCGTCACCGGGGGATGGAGTTTCGGGGCTGTCACCGAGGCATAAAGCTGTTGAAAGGAAAAGGTTGGCAAGGTATAGGGATAGAAGTCGCTCTGTGGAAGGTGCCCACTTGCGCAGATTCAGAACCACAGCCGGAGGATTCGATGGGGATGATGAGAAGAGTGATAGTGACAATGACGGGAGTTCGGAAGATCATGACGACGATAGCGATAGCCCTATTTGTGGAGAGGTAGATAAGAAAGGGATGGAGGATGTGGATGCTGGCACTCAGACTGAAAAGGTGGAGGAAGGGGAGCCTGCTGTGGCTCCCTCCAAAAAAGGGGAGGGAAAGGCTGCTGCTACTACTAAAAGGTTTAGGCAGTCTGTGAGAGAGTGTTCTGTGGCGAGCCAATGGTTGGTTGATTGATTGATTGATTGCGCTGGCATTATCATTGCTCTTCTGGAGTTGCATTGCATTGCATTGCCTTGACTTTAGTTTGGTTCTTTCGATAGGTAACTTGCTTTTCTTTTCTTTATTTTGCCATGGCTAAGGTAGGATTCTGCCGGTTGCTTGGTTTTGCTTAAAAAGTTCGCAAATTGGGGCCGGGGAGGCAGCCATCCGTAATGGGGACTATTTTTTCTTGTTCTCTTCACCTCTTGCGCACACGGTTTACCCGCGGCCATTTGGTCTCCTTTTCTTCGTGCTTCTAATGTAGCGGGGCGACTGAGAGAAAACTCTGAAAGCCAGCACATGAACTACGATACCCGATTAATGAATTAATACCGTATCATAACATGACTACCGCGGGGTTGCAGATCGCGTGAAGATACAAACCAGAAACAAACTCGAGTGATCATTCATGTCCGTGACAAAAACTCCACGAGCGATGCATGAATACAATTCCCTCTAACCCCCACAAACTCCAATCCAGACATAAGTGTGAACCGCACCGTATCATACGAAATATCGTTACATAGAAATTCAAATCAATCAATCAATCAATCAAATGACAGTACAGCACATTAGACGCACAGGGGGGAAACAGCCACATCACGCCTGCCAAAAGGAGAGAAAAACAGCAAAACAACCGACTCCTGGAAATGGAAAAAGAATCCCCCTACTCGTTCCCTTACCCCTGCCCACCCCACTAGCAGACTAACAAGCGTTCCTAACCTAAATCCACCGGCCAACCAACCAAGTGTTCCGCCCCGTTTGTGTTTTCCATGATTTCATGAGATGGGATCTATCTTATAT